TTAAAATGTCTACATGTCCAAATCAAATGAAGCACTCCTTGATACGAGTTTAAAAGGTCTACAGGTCCAAATCAAATGAAACACTCCTTGACACGAGTTTAAAAGGTCTACAAACTCAAGTTCAAATCAACACTCCTTGACACGAGTTTAAAAGGTCTACATGTCCAAATAAAATGAAGCACTCCTTGACACGAGTTTAAAAGGTCTACAAGTCAAAATCAAGTGAAATACTCCTTGACACGAGTTTAAAAGATCTGCATGTCCAAATCAAACGAAGTACTCCTTGACACGAGTTTAAAATGTCTACAACTTCAAATCAAATCAAAGCTCCTTGGTACGAGCATAAACTATCCAAATCAAATCAAGGCTCCTTGATACGAACATAAACTATCTACATATCAAAATCAAGTCAATGCTCTTTTATATTATAGCATAAACTATATGCATATCCAAATCAAGTCATGGCTCCTTGATACGAGCATAAACTATCTACAAATTCAAGTCAAATGCTCCTTCAGCATGAGTCTAAACTGCATATATTTCTCCTTGTTCACATGAGTATAAACTGTGCACGACATCCCTCAAAAGGATATATTTTGAACTACGTTATGACTTGATCCCTCTATAGGGTACGTAGGCAACTTAGATTATGTCTAAGTTCAATCATGATTTCAAAATATGTATGTGCTTTGCTAGATCAAGCTGCAATTGAAGTTAAGCAATTATCGAGACTCATTCACTCCAGGACGCATTGTCCGTGAACAAGTCTCGAGGGGACATTTGTAGACACGTAAATTTCATATAATTTATATTATATTAAATTGAATTCCAAGATTATAATTTATCTTGCAAAATAAGTCATGGAGATAATTATCAATTAATTATTGGCCAATAGGATTGTTTCTTCTCTTTCCAGTTATAAGAGATAAATATCAATTTAAAGAGAGTCAATCAAATCGCGTCACGTCATCAAGAAGACTTTATGTGTGACTCTTATTGTACCACTATAAATAGGGACCCTCCCTGCACAATTCAAAACACAACTCAAGAAGAAGAAAAAACCATAGGAGAAATTCTCTCTACAGTATTCAAGTCGTTCTTCATCAAATCGAAGGTGTTCTTCACCAAATCAAGTCGTGAAAGCGTTTAATTCGAGATTACGGTGTTAAACCCTCGAATTAACGTTATTAACATCAAATCAAGATCGAAGGAAGATTGAAGGGCCAAATCCATTAAGAACTCCAAGATCTTCAAGTCAAAGTTCATCAAAGTTTAGCGTTCGATCCGAGACTCAAGTCGCAAGACCCTCAGAAAACGTTATTCAAGTTCAAAACCAAATCCGGAGAAGATCAAGTCAATGACCCGTCTCCGAAATTCAAAGTCAATCATATATTGTTGAGAGAAGAATCAGATGATTACATTAGAGTTTGTTACACGCAATATTTATTTGTTATTCAATAAATTATCTTTGTATAAGTTTATCTTATTTTTCAAAATCGCAGATAATAATTTGTTGCTATAAATTTTCCAAAATTTAAGTGCTGCAATTGGTGAAAAATTTGTCGCTTATAAGATTTAGGTTGTTACAATTTAACCTAAGAGTTTTAAATAGAACTCAACAATTTAAGAGAAAAAATAAAGGGCTGAAGAAAAGAGAAGGAAAACTAACAACTCGGGGGAAATGACGGAAATAAAAAGAAGACTCGACTCACCCTTTGGCCGTCGCTCGCCCGCCCTTAGCCCCCTCGTCGGAAGTGACCATTCAAGAACGAAAGGAAAAATTGGAAAAGAAAAAAAGAAAATGAACCTGAAGGAAATATTTATGTTCCGAATTTTCGAAGAGTTTTCGGTATCAAATTACCCTAAAATCTCTATCGATTTGTCTAATAGTTTTCTGTACCTATTTTCTCTATAAATCTTTGTACTTTTCATTTTCCTTGTCTATCTTTTATGTAAACTAACATAGTCAAGAATTTGGTCGACGGCGCAAAAGGCAGGCGAACGGCGGTAGGCGAGCAGCTAGCGAAGGGCCACCAAAAGCTGGTTTGGTCTTTTTTCTCTTCCTTCTATGTTCTTTGTGTGCCGTTTTATTTTTTGATTTTTCCTTAAATTGTTGATTGGGTTTTTAAGGATAAATTTCACTTTTCTTCATTGTACTTTGCTCATTATCAGTTTATCCCCTTCTACTCTCGATTGCATCTGTTTGCCTCCCTGCACTTGAAAAATTGTCTCAATGTGGCCATCGCTGTTAGTTGTCAGACATTTGACCTTAGCACCGTTTGACCTAAGCTCTGAAATAACAAAGGAGCCACCTCTCCCAGTTTAAATAATTATTAAAAAAAAAAAAGATAAAATAATTAAAAATTCAAGACAACGAGAAAACACAGTCCACGACGCCAGCCACAATTTATTTTTTATTTTATTTTTATTTTTTTATTTTCTTAATAATTATTTAAACTGGGAGGGGTGGTTTTTTTTGTAATTTTCAGACTTAGATCAAACGGTGTTAATGTCGAAGCTCTAAAAACTAACGACGAAGGCCACATTGAAACAAATTTTCAAGTACAGGGGGCAAATCGATGCAATCGGGAATGGAAGGGGGTAAAGTAATATCACGCCAAAGTAAAAGGGAGAAAGTGGAAATTACCCTTGTTTTTTTAATGGTGGAGTGTTTAGATAATTGAAGGGTATAATTGACAACATGTAAAAGATGGAGTGAAGTGAGAAATTTGGTGGAGTCCAAATAGCCAAGCATATTTTATATTATAATGAAGAAAAAAATGGAAATTTCAAATTACGCCTATTCCGTGTCGAAAGTTACAATGTTGGAACAATTTTTATTTTTTTTTCAATTTCAATTTCCGAAAGGGGAAATTTGCTAGACACCCCTTATTTTGACTTATATGGCTAGAGATCCTAGTTGTTAGATGAATATAGGCATAGGTCCTTTGATCCAATAAATTAATATAAATAAATTAAAATAATTAGTATATAGACCATAACACCCTCAATTAATAAGAAAACAAATCTTATATATCCTCTCTCTCCAATCTCACGTTACTCCCCCTATATAATTTATCATCTCTCTCCTTCTGCATCTCAATTCTCACGTCTCTCTCTCTCGTGCTTCTCTTTTTTTTTTTTTTTTTTTTTTTCTTTTTCGTTTTTTTTTTAATGAAGAAATATTATAGAGATGAAAAAAAACAAGGATCTTTTTTAGATTATGAGAGAATTTCTTTGTGAAAGAATTAAAGATGACGACAAACATCCCCTCCAAAAAAAAATCAGAAATCCAAAATCCTAGCCAAATTCGCATTGTGTTTTCCGTATGTAGAACCTCCCATCATATGTTGTTAGCAATTTCCGTTTGGAGTTGGTTTAATTTCGTTTGTTGTTTGAAGAATTGCGTCTGATGTTGAGATTCGATTCCTCTGGTTTACAATTTGCAAGGTATGTCTTAAGTTACATTTTACAAACATTTTGTTTAATATTTTTGTTGTTTGCAAATTGTTCTATAAACAATTTTTTGGTTGATTTTTTTAATGATGCTGATTTTTTTTTTTTTTTTTTTTTTTTCAGTTTGCTATTTGCATTTGGCCAAGTCATATGTAGTTTATTGCTTGCAATTCAATAATGCAAGTTTTGCTGAATGTTTTTCTTTAGTTTTCTGTTTGCATTTGGCGAAGTCATAGGTAATTTTTTGTTTGTAATTTAGTAATACAAATTATGAATTTTGTTTTTTCAGTTTGTTGTTTGCATTTGGCGAAATCATAGGTATTTTGCTGTTTGCAATTCAATAATATAAAATCTAATTTTCAGTTTGCTATTTGCAGTTCGCGGAGTCATAGACGTCGCAGTTCCCGAATCATAGGCGGTGGTGGGGCTGCGGTGACGTTTTTAGAGTATGAGTTTGTAAAATAAATTGTATATTTTTGTTATGAATTAATTTATTTGTTTTAGTTAATATTTGGAAGAAAGATGTTTGGGAATTTGCTATGATAGAGAGATTTTTGGAGATTTGATTTGATTTAATTAAGGGTATTTTTGCCATAATAAATATTATTAATTTATTAAAACATTAAATTTTAACTTGGATTTACACACATAAATTATAATATAGAGGGACCTATAGCAAATTGCCCCGTTCCGAAATTCTAATTTTCTATTATTGTGTAATGAATGCTATGGACAATCAATTTTTCACTTTCAAAAAATAGGTTTTTTTTTCTTCCAAAAATATTAATTTCGATCTGATTCGTCCGATCTCATACTAAATTAAATTGAATACATAAACTCTGTGTCAACAAAAACGTGGTGGAGTGGAGTAAAAACTAAAAACTAAAAGAGCTCGGCATTCACATGTGAATATTTTTTAAGATGATTCAGAGAGACAAAGATAGTTAAAAAAGTCCAGCCCATAAACATAAGTATTGTCCCCTTCATAGTCCCATTATTCCATCTTCTTCCTAACTACTGACCCCATAAACATTAAACAATTCCAAAAACAATTAAAATAATAGGAAATAATAAATAAAATAAAATAAGGATAAATTACAACCACCCCTGAGGTATGGTCAAATTACGAAAACCCCCTTCTTGTTTGGATAATTACAACCACCCCTCAACTCCTCAAATTTAGTGGAATCTTCGAGATTATATGGAATATTATCACTTTTGTACCCGTTTTATCTTATTCGAACTCTACATTTTGAAGCAAGATGATCGTAATATGTATATTTTGGCTTGTATATATATATTAGATTGTGGTGCATCAGAAACTGTATTTTTACACCAAACGAGTACAATCTAGAGCACATTTCACAGAATCTAGATGATTATGTTGAATTTGACACCATAAAGGTGGAGGTGTAAGAAAAAATCATAGTCAAGGGATAGATATAATTATCCAAACAATAGGGATTTTTTCGTAAATTAACCATACATCAGGGGTGTTTGTAATTTACCCAATAAATAAAATAATTAAAAAAAGGTTAGAGAGAGAAAATCATCACAGATTCACAGTCGGTGCAAGAAGAAGTTCTCCTTCTCTACACTTCATCCCACATTCTCTTCCGACACACTTCAATGAGCGTCTCCGCTTACTGATTTCAATTAGGGTTCGAATAAATTTAATTAACCGCTCAATTTATCTCGAGCTGATGGGTTCGGAGAGCACGTTTTCTGCTCAGAAGCGTACCTCCGGTACTCTTCCGACCACCGTATCCACCGCCAACGGCGGATCCCGCGGCGGCCGCTCCTCCTCCGCCTCCCTCATCCCCCGCGGCCGGCAGATGAACAAGACGTTCAACAACATCAAGATCACAATCATCTGCGGCTTCGTCACAATCCTCGTCCTCCGCGGCACAATTGGCCTCGGCAACCTCGTCTCCACCGAATCCGAAGCTGAGAGCCTCCACCTCATCGAAGAAACGAATCGGATCCTCGCCGAGATCCGATCCGACAAGGACCCGACCGACCCGGACGACGGACCCGAGAAGTTTCTCGAGCTGAACGCCACTTTCAGCCTGGGCCCTAGAATCAGCACGTGGGACGAAGATCGCAAGGCGTGGCTTCAGCAAAACCCCCAATTCCCCAATTACGTTCGCGGAAAACCTAGAATTATGCTCGTCACCGGGTCGCCGCCAAACCCTTGCGATAACGCCATTGGAGACCATTACTTGCTCAAGGGCATCAAGAACAAAATTGACTACTGCAGAATCCATGGGATTGAGATTGTCTACAACATGGCCCATTTAGATAAGGAGATGGCCGGGTATTGGGCGAAGCTGCCGTTGATTCGCCGCTTGATGCTGTCGCACCCTGAAGTCGAGTGGATTTGGTGGATGGACAGTGACGCATTGTTCACCGACATGGTGTTCGAATTACCCGTTTCGAAGTACAAGGATTACAACATGGTTATCCACGGCTACCCGGATTTGCTCTTCGAGCAGAAGTCTTGGATTGCGCTGAACACCGGTAGTTTCCTGTTCCGTAATTGCCAGTGGTCGTTGGATTTGCTGGACGTTTGGGCGCCCATGGGGCCCAAAGGCCCGATCCGCGAGGAAACGGGTAGGATCCTGACCGCCAACTTAAAGGGTCGGCCCGCGTTCGAGGCGGACGATCAGTCTGCATTGATATACCTCTTGATTTCTCAGAAGGAGAGGTGGATGAACAAGGTGTTTGTGGAGAACTCGTTTTATCTGCACGGGTTTTGGGAGGGTCTCGTGGACCGTTACGAGGAGATGATCGAGAAGTACCATCCGGGTTTGGGTGACGAGAGGTGGCCGTTTGTTACGCATTTTGTCGGGTGTAAGCCGTGTGGGAGTTACGGTGATTATCCGGTGGAGAGGTGTTTGAAGAGTATGGAGAGGGCTTTCAACTTTGCGGATAATCAAGTCTTGAATTTGTACGGTTTTAGGCATAGGGGATTGGTCAGCCCCAATATTAAGAGGATTAGGAATGAAACGGTTACTCCTTTTGTGAACGTGGATCACTTTGATATTCGGCATTCCGCGAGCCATACGAGTGGATCTAAGGGTTAGCTAGTCGAACGACACCTGTCAGAAACACATGCAGGTACGTACATTGCTTGGATTGGAATTTAGTAATAATTGGATCTTCTCTTTGGAATTTAGTAAAAAGAAATCAATTATCTGAATGTTTGATGTGTATTGTGATGGTCACCTCTCGACTTCTTTCCATGCTGTTTCCAACTGCCTTAATAAATACGAGGTTGCTATGTTCTTGTAAGAGAAGAGAGGTTGAAAGAAAGATTTATTTAGTAGCAACTTGTGTTTACACCTTAGATTCCTACCTATATAGGGTAATACATACTTATTTCCAATATTTAATGCAAAATGCTATGTTTTTGTTAGCTAAACTTTCCCCATAGCAACGGAATAGGATTCTCTATTGCCTTTGTACGATGATGTTACCATCATTGTACACGTGGAACTTGAATGGGGCTAGAGAATGTAACGGGTTTCCGGTTCACATAGCAATAAAGTAATGTACATTGAGTTGACTTTTCGGTTCACATAGCAATAAAGAATGGGACTACGTCGAGTTGACTTTTCGGTTTTGTTTGTTTTGTTTTGTGTTATGTAGTTACCTTTTCTGATATTTAAACTACCATAACGCATTTGCTCAATCCATGTTCAATAAAAGGACCACTTATTTTTTGCTTCTATGCCTATAGCTATAAATTTCCAACGTGTGTATATATTTGTCAACATAGGAACCACATACTAGCACTATTTTGTGATGGCACCTCATGGTTATTACTAATTAGTAATTAGTCCCAGCAAAGAATATATGTTAAGTTTTCAGTCCAACGTATTCAACTGAAGACGCCAAAGAAAGTAGTGTGAATCACAAGATTAAAGAATCGTTAGATTCCCAACATCCATTGAATGATGGACGTAAAGGAAATACCGGAACCCACAGATAATTGTTTTATCATTTAACTCTCATATGAAAACGAACAGTGAAACAGTATATAAAGAAATACGAAAATCGGAGATCAACTTTGGAATGAAACCAAATAGCTACTTACTCCCCATTGGCCATGCATGATTGAACTGCGTAACATGACTTGCTTTTTGCTCACTTGCTTGGTATGTATGTCCTCCTTTTAAGTTGTCAAAATATCGGGTTCGTTGTTTCTAATAGTGTCTCTGTTACTGCACGTAATTTGTTAAGCTTTCTTGTTTATGGTAAATCGCCCTTCTTATCAGATTACATTACGTAAATATTCGGCTATTCACTTGCATAATAGCTTGATTGTGAACGTTTTTTGTTTTGTAGTTAAAAACCGTTTCCATTCAAAAGGGGTGGATCGAAGAAATCGTGAGTTGTTCGCATATTATTGCAAGGAAGTGAATGATGGTTGGAGGGCGTTGATCTGCTGAATGTAGTGTTTGTGTAAATCCCGAAAACATATAAAAGAATTTCCGAATATATGTTTTTACGTTAGCTGTTATTTTAGATTTTCATACATTTAGAAGCATTAGTGAAATCCAAACTCCAAAGTAAAGGTTTTGAAGCTTCAAAAGAGGAGATTCAATTCACATTCAAAGAACAAATAATGGATTAGGGTTTCACGTGTTCAGAGTTCTTGCTTGAGCTGTAGTTTCACCTCTTGTTCTGTATTGTTGCAAATTGTGAAAATTTTCCATAAATAGATTAATATTCCATGACTGGCAGAATTTGCTAGTTTTACGAATTCCGAGGATAATAGTATTTATTGGCAATGTTTGGTTCTGTTTTCGTGAACTTTTATTTTTTTCTTGTAAACGAATTCGTGGCTTTTAAAAAGAAGGGCTAAATACACTTTGCACCCTTAAGCTATAGGGGTGGTAACACTTACCCCTTAAAGTTACAAATGTACCACTTACCCCCCTCATTTATGAATTTAAAGGTATAACTTTGACTTTGAATGATGTGGCATTTTTTCTTCCCAAATTGTCCTTCTAGCTATTATATTGATGCATATATAATAAAATAGTTTCAATAATATTTCAAAAACTAAAATTTATAAAATATAATAATTATTAAAACAATATTTTGATTTATGTTTAACTCCACATTTTAATTACTATAGACCCTAATATAAATAAAAATCTCAATATTTTAAAAAATATATAAAATACGTTAAACATTCGCGAGAAAAAAATATTCAAGACTTAAATGGCCAATTTTTTTATAATAATTATTGATTTGAAAATTTATTTAAGTTACTTCAATATAAATTTTAATAAAATAATATTTAAATATTTAGACATTTAAATTATAATTTCTTATTAACTTTTGAATACATTTTGTGATTCTCCAAGTTAAAAGTGAGATGATTATATTAGAGTCATATACGCATTAAAATAACTATATAAACTATAAAATTATACGTAAAATTCGAATAATTGTTAACTTTTTACTAGCTACAAACGAACACAAGGTAAAACAAAAATAAACTAAAATTCAATTTTTTTCATTCATAGATTTACAATATTGAAATAATAAAATTAAGTTTTGGCAAAGTTACCAAATTTTTTATTATTACATATTCATTATTTATTTAATGGCTAGAAGGACAATTTGGGAAGAAAAAATGCCACATCATTCAAAGTCAAAGTTATACCTTTAAATTCATTAATGAGGGGGGGTAAGTGTTACATTTGTAACTTTAAGGGGTAAGTGTTACCACCCTTATAGTTTAAGGGTGCAAACTGTATTTAGCCCTAAAAAGAAATTCCTAAAACAACTTCTTGAGCTTCTTTCTCTCTTCTCCATAAATAATTTGACTGCTACAGTAAAAATGTTTTCACTAAAAAGAACAAAAAAAAAAAAAATTATTTTGTTTTTCAAATTCTTATTCTAAGATACATTTTTTGAAATAACTTTAAATATGATTTGGCATAGGGGAAGTTTTTTTGTTCCAATGAGGCATTAATAACTAATTTTCAGTTTTGTCCTTATTATCTTTAATCAGTTAATAGAGAATTAGTTGAAATAAAATTAATAATGTGGGTGAATTAGTCATTGTTATTGGTTTTTTATAAAGGGAAAATTTGCTAGACACCCCTTATTTTGGACTTATATAGGTAGAGATCATAGTTGCTGGATGAATATAGGCATAGGTCATTTGACCAAAAAAATAATATAAATAAAATAGAATAATTAGTATATAGACATAAACATCCTCAATTAATAAGGAAACAAATCACATATATCACTCAATCTCTCTCTCCAATCTCACGTTTCTCTCACCCTATATTTAATCTTCAATCTCTCTCTATGTATCTCACACGTCTCTCTCTCTCTCTCTCTCTCTCTCTCTCTCTCTCTCTCTCTCTCGCTCGCTCGCGCGCGCGCGCGCTCTGTCTCTGTGTCTCGGGGGCGTGTGTGGGTTTCTTGGAGTGGGGGGGGGGTTGTGTGTCGTGTGAAAAATATTATAGAGAAGGGAGAAAAAAAATTAGATTATGAGATGATTTCTTGGTGAAATTATTAAAGATGACAACAAACATCCTCTCCCCCCTCCTAAAATAAATTCAGAAATTCAAAGCCCTAGCCAAAATTGGCATTGAGTTTTGCGTATGTAGAACCTTCATCGTTTGTTGTTAGCAATTTATGTTTGAGGGTTAACTTCGTTTGTTGTTTGAAGAATTGCGTTGGGTGTTGAGATTTGATTCCTCTGGTTTACAATTTGTAAGGTATGTCTTAAGTTACATTTTTACAAACACTTCGTTTAATGATTTTGTTGTTTGCAACGTGTTCCATAAACAATTTTTTGTTAATGTTTTTAAATGATGCCGATTTATTTTCAGTTTGTTGTTTGCATTTGATGATGTCATCAGTAGTTAGTTGTGCTGATTTTCTTTTTTACAGTTTGCTGTTTGCATTTGGCGAAATCATAAGTAGTTTTTTTGTTTGCAATTCGATAATGCAAATTCTGGAGAAAAAAAAATCAGTTTGTTGTTTGCATTTGGCCAAATCATAGGTATTTTGTTGTTTGCAGTTCAATAATACAATTTCTAAATTTCAGTTTGCTATTTGCAGTTAACAGAGTGAGTCGGAGTTCACGTAGTCATAGGCGGTGGTACAGCGGCGGTGGCGTTTTTAGAGTATGAGTTTGTAAAATAAATAGTATATTTTTTTAACGAATTAATTTAATTTTTTAGTTAGTATTCGGAAGAGAGATGTTTGAGAATTTGTTTTGACAGAGAGATTTTTTGGGATTTGATTTGATTTGACTTAAGGGTATTTTTGCCTTAATTTATAATTTATTAAAATATGGAAACTTTGACTTGGATTTATACACATAAATTATAATATGGAGGGACCTATAGCAAATTGCCTCTTTTATAAAATGGGGTAATGGCAAATAGGCCCATGACAATGGCACTTAATTCAAAGAGGGACATCCAACTTTTTTGTCTTTCAAATAAATCCACCCCATTCAAACTTATTTGCAAATAAGGAAAATCCTTTTATATATACCAAAATTACCCCCAATTCATTGAAACCCAATTTAACTCCAATTTCATGATTTACACCCCAATTTAGCTAAATTTCATCAATTAACCAATTTTAACCCTAATTTCAATTTTGACCCCAACTTTGACCAGCCACCACCGGAGACTGCCGGTCGCCGCCGTTGATTTTTTTTTTTTTTTTTTTTTCGAATTTTTTTTTTCCTGAAATTTTTTTCCGGCCGGTCGCCGTACCGCCGGGTCTCCGGCGTTGACTTTTTTTTTTTCTTTTTTCCTTTTTTTTATAATTTTGTTTTTTCTGAAAAAAAATATTTTAATTAATATTACAGTCATGGCTGCTAAATTACTGTCTCCGGCAGTTATTTAATTGTCGGATACAGTAATTTACCTGTTAATTGACTCTTTTTTTTTTCAAAAATATTTTAATTAATATTACTGTATTCGTTGCTAAATTACTGTCTCCAGCAGTTATTTAACTGTCGAAAACAGTAATTTAACTGTTAATTGACTTTTTTATTCTTAAAAAAAAAATTTATAACTAATATTACTGTATTCGTTGCTAAATTACTGTCTCCGGCAGTTATTTAACTGTCGGAGGCAGTAATTTAACTGTTAATTTTAACTTTTTTTTTTTCCTTAAAAAAAATATTTTAATTAATATTACTGCCTTGGATGTTAAATTACTGTCTCCAACACTAATTTAACTGTCTTAGACAATAATATTAATAATATTACTGTTCGGAACAATAATATTCATAATATTACTGTCCCAAACAGTAATATTACTGTCTGAGACAGTAATTTAGTAGTCAAGACAGTAATATTAATTAAAATATTTTTTTTCTAAGAAAAACAATTCAAAAAAAAAAAAAGTCAACGCCGGAGACCGGCAGTCAACGGTGGTTGACCGGCCGGAAAAAAATTTCAGGAAAAAAAAAATTCAAAAAAAAAAAAAAGAAAGTCAACGCCGGAATCTGGCCAAAAAAAAAAAATTCAGAAAAAAAATTATTTTCTGGAAAAAAAAAAAGTTTTGGGGGTTAATGTGATATATTTGTTTAAATCCGGGGTCAATGTGTAATATTAAGGAAGTTAGAGCATAATGGGTGAAATTGATAAGAATTATATTATTGAGGGTATTTTAGACTAAAGACATGTGGATGAGTTTAATTGAGAGACTGTTTTTTTTGTGGACTAAAATGCATTTAAGTCCCATGTGATGGGCATTTTTGCCATTTGCCCTTATAAAATCTACTAATATTTATTATTTATCAATTTTCTTAATATGTCCGCCATTAGCACATTGCTAAAACTGAGACTTATTTTGAAACAAGCTATAAACCTAGAACATTTTTTTTATACAATACCATCCCAAAATTACAGCACCAACAACAAAGTGTATAAATTGTAAACTTATTAAAAATTTGAAAAAATTATCAACTTTCTAATTCGTTGATTTGTTTTCACCATTAATATATAAAAAATAGGGTTTCCATAATAAAATCTTATTTACTTATTTAGGGCGTGGAAATTAGGAATAAATACCCTCCACCCCAACTTATTTTTTCTCCACACATTAGGCTACAAAAATGCATGTGCATGAGCTGGGACTGGGTTGGGTTGGTCGATTACCAGCCTAAAAACCGACCCATCCATTAAACCATTTTTGCTCAAATTCTAAAACCATTGCCGACCCAACCTTTGTGGGTCGGTTGATGGTTGGCAACCGAATATTTGGTTCCGGAATGGGTCGGTTGATGGTTTATACCAGTCACATGGTTCACTTAAAAAAAATTCAAATTTTGGAGTAAACATATTCACATTCAGCGTGACGCCACGGTGCGATCATCATTTATCAGTTGAAAATAATAAATAACAATTTAACGAAATAATATAATTAGAAAATTCAAAATAATTTCAAACTTGCACAATAGATCTTTAGTGGAGTTTTATGGCTTTTTGTTTAAGTTTGGACATAAAGAAATCGGTGGAAGATTTAGGTCAATTTAGTTTTTCCTTTGTTGATTGTTTTTAAAATTTTATCACATAAGAAAACACGGCCTTTATTTTATAAGATTTTAATAATATAGTTGGATGACCGATAATTATCGGTCAACCAACTTTTAATAATATTAGAAACCACCAACCGACCCATTATAGATGGATTGGTTGAAATTTCCGACCCGATCCAATGAGTCAGTTAAAAATTGATTATCCACCTAAAAATATGGTCGGTAATGAGTCAGTTGGTGGATAAAAACCAACCCAGTCCCAGCCCTAT